GCTATCATGTATTTCTCCTTCTTTTGTAATACATGCATGTTTGCTGAAAATAGCCACTGTAAACTATATAAAGATGTGTTTGTTAATGTTTATCAATGCGTGTATGGTATGTCTGCCTTGATATGATTTAAACTCTCTTAAGGGCCATAGATGCTGAGACCCTGAAATAGGCATGCTAAGAATACAGTTTTGCAGTACATTGTTCTGATCCTGGAGTTACATGCTTCGGCCTAACACAAACTGCTGCTGTTGACATGTGCTTCACCTGCACAGCTGCAAACATAAAAACATCCCATAGACACTCTACACTGCCTCCATAAAAACATTATTGAGCAATAACTTCAGAGCGGCCATTTCAGGACAATGACAAACCGAGCAGGCTAGGTTACTGTGGCTGTCAGGAAATGCTCCGGTTTTGTCAGACCCCTTACAGCTATAGACCTGTATAATAAAACCACCCACTGAGATGCGCCCAAGGGGTAAAGTCATGATTTCTTCCACTGGAATTTACAAATAGAATAAACCACGCTGATGTTTTTGACAGCAGTACCGCCTAACGTCATACATTGTCAGTCACCCAGAAAATTCTCATGATTCAGAATTCAGACACATCTGATGACTAATTCTACCTCCTCTCAGTTTCGGTTTCCCACAATAGCATACTCAAGAATTTTATTACATGTTTATTTTAACTTTTCCACGTAACTTGTACTATGTAACTTTTTGGTTCAGCTCTTTTCAATAAGTAACTGCTCTACCATGAATGTTCCACAGTATGTCATTAAACAGCTCAACTTCTCATTTATTCAATTACAGATGGTTTTATAGCTCAAAAATACCTAGAAAAACAGGCATTCTGATTGTGAGCAGGTTGAGTCTCGACAGATCTGACCTGTAACTTGGTTTGGTTTGGTCTCCATGAAGATAGAAATGTTTAAAGCCATAATGTGAATCCAGACAAAGCAATAACATCTCCAACACGGGCCCATCACAAGAAAAGCTGCTCAAAATTTTTGTATGTATTTTTGACTAATATTCCTTAAAAGCGTACACATGTCAGCTTGCGTTGTGCTTAGTCCTTTGCATTGGTAACGATGTTGCCCTTTCCCATTGCTCCTGATTGAAATACTGCATTCTGCCTCTTCACTTAGTTAAGTGCTATGTTGCTGCATGGACATGCTTCATCGCGTTCCATTTGCCCACTGAATGAACGGCACACATACAGTATCGGTGAGCCCAACATTCAGCGGTGTTATGTTACAAATTGCACACCAGATCGATTGAGACATCACTTCTTTATACAGCACTGGGTTTGACTGGTGGATACAAGTGAGATGTAGAGCCCACTTCAAGTTGAAATGATTTTAGCTCAGAAATAGAGCGGACAACCCACTCAGACAGCTGTGTTATTGAGACAAAAAGCCTCTTCTGGTGATGGGGTGCCCAAAGAGATGTTGGTTTTTCTGCCTCCCAAATATATTCAGGCATGTCCAGGTCAATTCATTTGTACTGTAATAGTATGATTGAATGATACTTGTGAACTTTCTTTTGTTTAACCTACGCAAATGTCCCATACAGAGAAGACGCCCTGCTCAAACTGGATCAGGCTACTGTAGTGATTTTACTGTCTTAAAAACTTGAAGAACTGACAATGACATAATCGCGTTTCACAACTTACAGCAGTGTTTTTCCATTGCTGTTATGCAAACAACGACTAGCATGCTAACAATGCACCCGCCAGAGGTGGGACCAAGTCGCTTTGCAAGTCTCAAGTATGTCTCAAGTCTCTGACCTCAAGTCTGAGTCAAGTCCCACGTCAAATACAGGCAAGTCCAAGTCGAGTCTCGAGTCACTGGCCCATAAGTCCAAGACAAGTCCAAGTCGTCTGCTTTGAGCTTCAAGTCATTTCAAGCCTTTTAACTAAAGTACCTGATTTTTGCAATTTATATGACCTTTAAACTAAATTGTACTTAAAAAGTCATAGTATATATATATATATATATATATATATATATATATATATATATATATATATATATATATATATATATATATATATATATGAGTATTTATAATTGTTGTAGAAATGCTCATTTTTCCTTTTTAAATGTCTTGATAAGATCTTAGTGCAAATCATTACGGTCAGAACAGAAAGAATTCAGGTTTAAAAGTGCTAAATAACACTTATTTTGTCGTGTAGTCTGTACTGAAATGGAAGGATCATGTTTTATGTAGTCCTGCTTTTACTGTATATTACTGTAGTACATTTGAGGATACCACATCACAGTACTTCAGTTACACCCAAAGTAACAAATAGAGAAGTGAGAGGGACATGTTTCATACATGCATTTGTCCCTTTAAAATTAAGCACCACATTTATCAGCTGTAAAGAGAAAAGTGTTTTCTAAAAACATACTGTATATATTTTTAGGAGATGCATCAAGTTTTCTCAAATCACAAGCCTCAAGTTAGAGTCAAGTCCTAAGTCACTGACCTTCAAGTCCAAGTCGAGTCCTAAGTCTTAATCCATTTTATCAATTCAAGTCTCAAGTCCTAAAGATAGTGACCCAAGTCTGACTCGAGTCCAAGTCACGACTTGCATGTCCCCACCTCTGGCACCTGCCTTACTTCCTGGTTCATGGACGATATTGGATAATTAGATGCAGACAAAACAGTCTCATTTTGACCCCAAGATCAGCTTTTATAATTGTGAGCGAAACATTTTAAACTCTACCACATGGAAACATTAGGTACAGTCCCTAATGCAGATTTGTGAGAGTCTGGTTGGCATCCAGCTAATTCAAAGCCAGTTAATGTTTGTGCAGAGGGCTCCTTAGGGAGACAGGCCTGAAAAATGTCTATGGCATATTCAGCTGGGGGTGGAAAATTCTCCAACAATGCAACGTCCTATCTCCAACGTGCACACAAGCCTTCCTGATCACCAGCGTAAAACCTTTAAATGTTGTGTAACTTCAAATGTGAGACAATGACGCAGTGTTCAAGTCTTTGTGGTATTGTCCTCGCAGACAGATAGAAGACATCTGGAGCTGGGAAGTTTGATTTGTTTGGGAGAAAAACAGCATTCAAACAGTGTGCAGTTGTCATCTAACGACATGTCAGTAACTTGCGTCGACTTTCTCATAAATGCGTTTCTCCCCTTTGTATTCAATCAGCTGTCACGGATGCTAACAGTGAGTGCCGCGGTGAAGCCCTGCGTTGGGTCTGATTACAGATCCTGTCACAGAGAGCACAGCCCGAGCGCAGGGACGACTGAGCAGAGGAGATACAAAGTCAGGATGAATGCAGACTCTACAAAGATGGGGACAAGACTGAAATAATCATCTCAATGTTTAGTTTCTCTGCTCAATTGTCGGTACTGTAAAAAGTGCATTGAGTTACACACGTCTCTGTGAAGGAGCAGTTTTTATTGTGATCTGCTGAAGAAGTGCCAAGTTAGACTCACTGAATTAGATCAATACTGTAGTTTCATCTATAAAATGCAAATTATTACATTGCATTCCATTCCAGACAGCAAGAAATAACAACATAAAGTGAAAGACTTGTGTTTTGTTTCAGTGGTGGAGGGTCTAAGAGTGATTTATGGTTTTAAAAAGCTGGAAGGCAATAGCAACACTGATTAGTTAAAACATCAATTCTCTAAAAATGTCATAGAGAACTTGCTTCACATTCAAATATCAGCACATTTTATTACTACGGGAAATAATTTATTAGCAGAAAATCATAGGCTGCCGAAGAGTAACTTATCAGTGTACAATTTTTGCCAGTACTGTAAGGCAAAATGGAGTCAAAATAATAAAGTTTTGTACTCAGACGCTTTTGAAGCTTGTCCGCTTTTAAGTCTGTGGATCCTGAAGGTGGAGCCGAACTGTCAGGGGCATCGTTCAAAGAAACTGAGACTGAAATTATAACTGTCAACCAAACATTTTATGACAGCTTAATGGGGGTTTATCTTTATTTAGCCTGATGAAACTAGGATTTACTTTTGCCTTTGTAGATACACTCAAACAATAAAATGTTCGTGTCAATGAACAAAGTAATTCAAGCACAATATTTAAGAGACCAGGCTCACAGCAAGAAGATCCTGCTATTCATGAGCACTGTTACCATTGAAATCAACTCAAAACAAAATAATACATGTTTTTAATAAAGTAAAAAGTGCTCAAAATGGCTAGCCAGGCTGATGCCACATAATGCCTCCACTCAATTTCACTTCTCTCCAGTGACTAGGTCAGGAATTGGAATACACTAGATCAGCGAAGAGCCATACATTCTGTGTTGGCAATGTTTCCCGAGATCGAGGATTTAAAGCCGGAACAAAGAAAATGTTTGGTGAATTTTGTCAAGGGGGAAGACGTTATTGTCCTTCTTCCTCTGGAATTTGGGAAAAGCTTAATATACCAGTTAGCCCCGTTAGCGGCGCATTACATACTTCACAACGAAATAGCAGCGATTGGTTAAATAAAAAAAGTACCCACCTGCCATTGAGTGAACGAATCCTAATGCTGCGAGGTCAAACAGTTTCCATGAAATGAACTCGGCTGATGAATCAGGCTAGACTGTATAAAGAAGTGGAAGAAGGTAATGTGACGTTACCCATGGTGTTCAGCTCCAGTCAAATGAAGCTCATGAGGCTAGCAGTTATAGGGGCAAATTTGGAGCCAAATTCTATGTTAGGAAAAGGAATTTATTTTACTAACAAAATAGTGATAAAAAAAAAAAAGCACCATGATCATGTAGAGTGGATTAATACGAACATTTTAAGTGACGAGGCTCATCTGGCATCATTGGAGCTGAAAACACGTCCATGACCACTTCCTATTTGAAACATGGCAAGATGCTGATGATGGGATGATGTTTGCATGTTTCTTTCACCTTTCCACGGACAGTTCATTACCACTATTCCAGAGTAATTTCAAATTCAAATATCAATACCTCATTCTATAATATAAAATTTCCCCATTCCTCTGTTTTTGTTGCAGATGTAAAGGAGCTTCTCACTATGGCCTCTCGGCAGACAGAAAGCGGCGCTCTCAGGAGGGAGAATGCACAGACAGCACATCAGAGCTCACCATTGCCACACTGCCCAACGATGGCCCTGCAGCAGCCGTGGCTCTGCTGTCCGACGAACCGGGACTGGTTAACCCGGCCTTTGACCCCAGCATGGAGGACAACAGCCAATCAGGGAGCACCACCAGCCTGGCCGCGCGCTCCAGCTCCAAGAAGAGTGAGTGTGAGTGACTGGTGTCTGCGTGTCGTGGTGTGGTCAGTCCTGTGCTGTGACGTTTGTCTGATCATATTGTAAGTGTGTGAAAGCTTGTCATTAAAATGTGTATTATTTAGTGTGCAGTAATGATTAGTCTGAACTTCAGCCAATCCAGACCAGATATGCTCTAATAATTTATATATGAAATAGAAAGTGATATCATTTTTGAAACAGAAAAATTGCTTAAAAGGTGCACTATGTTACAAAAAAAATATGAAAACAGTGATAGCTCTAAATTCATTCTATACTGGGGGCACATTTTTGTACACTTTCCAAAGTCACCATGACGTGTCACCATGACGATGTTGTCTGCACTGAAATTAATCATGGGATATGTAGTTCCCGGTGTTTATATGCTGTTGCTACTATAAAACAATGTATTTACACAAAGGAACTTGTAATTTGATATATTGTGACAGTCCATGATATTACTGTGAGACTTTTGACGATACGTTATCACGATATTTCGGTTATTGTTACATCCCTGGTAATAAAGGATTCCCTCATAACACATTTGGCCCTTCTGAAGACATGCCTCCTCCCTGTGAACTGTGCTAGGATCTATGGAACAATAGAACAATACAGCAGATTCAGACTCCACACACAAGCACTTCAACTAGTTTGGAAAATAAATAATTGCTTTAATTATTGTAGAACACTGTTTATAATGGTGATTGTATTTTAGAGGCTAATTAAGGTTGTTATTATAATAGGTGATACTCTCTTTAAATCAATTTTTTTTATTTTATTTTTTTTTATTTTGCCATGCCCATGAACATGCTGACAAAATGAAAACTGTACTGCAACTTAACATAAGAAAAACAGAGTGAAATCAATAAAGAGCAGAGAGCTTGCTGGTCACACACACTGGAGTCAAACTCAGTTCCGCGCTCTGAGACATAGTTACACCAACATAGCATTGGTACAACCCCGGTCGACGGATACAGTCATTGTTGCCTCTAATGATCCTTGATAGAAATCCTTTCAGCCAATTAGCTGCTCTGCCTTGTTTTTTTCCACCAATCTATAAAGGCTCTCTTTGTGTGAAGCTGAGGGGAAAAAGCAAAGGAAAGTCACCGAGAGGGCAGCACATTATGCAGTCAAGGAGAAGCGGAAGGAGAGGCAGGTTAAATATAGCCCTTGTGTAAGTGTGTATTAATGTCCAGTGACGCGCTAGGCTGCTCCCTCAATTTCACTATTTCTCACCTGTGAAACTAATGGGCAGCAATGAGCACCCCCAAAACAGACCACCGAGTCTCCTGATATCCAATCCCTGTCCAAACAACCAGAATGCATGTCGGCACTTCATTGCATTATACTTTCTAGTGCTTGAACGCGTCTACCTGAGACTAAACATGTCACGAAACGAAGCAATGCAAATGTACTGGTCTGTGTCTAGGGAGGTGCAGGGTGCGTGATTTATATGGCTATGATTCTTCTTATGCTTGCTACAACTGCTTATGGAGCTAGCAAAAAGTAAATAAAACGCAGAAAGAATTTTGCAAGTGAAATGTACAATTACAGAAACATCATGGGGCAGAAAATGCAGTCAGTCTTTTATAAACTGAATGATTATTGGGATTGTAAAGATCTAACATACTTTCTATTGATGTATTCTTTCTCCCATACTATACTACAGTGGAAAGATCAGGCAGTGCGTCTTTAAATAGCCTATGGTAGCACAGTACAGTAGTAGAGAGAACACCAAATGACGTTGCTGCAGCCCTTTACATCTATTTACAGAGCTTCACAACCACGTTCTCCACAACCAGCGCTGCTTCTGCTGAACAAGCTGTCAGGAGCAGGAGCGGCCGGACCTCTCAAAGAATAATGTTGCTGTCAGAAAGCTTCACAGAGGGACTAAATGAGGGAGGGGGGTGCTGCAAAGGAGTGTGCCCCAGAGCAGTGCAGTGAGCTGGACATGCCTCTGCTCCTCTGCTGCCTCCTGGAGCTCTTGGCCCCAGGCTAAGAAAAGACTCCGCAAAATCTCAGTGGAGGCATGCAGATGTTTTTTGAAGTGGAATCCACCATGTGTTACATCACATGCATTTATGTAATGCCACTCTCTTTGCACAAGTCTGTTTATTAATTTAAAGGACACTAGTTGCAACTACGTCATGACGTACTTTGAAACTAAAAGTAGGCCTCTGTCTGTAGTTCATATTGTGATGACTCACCAAGACTAGCAGCTTGCAGCTCTGAAATAGATTCACTGAATTGTGATTGTATATGCAACGTTTGTTTGTTTGTGTAACTGAAAATGAAACCAATAAGGAATGTGGAGGTAATCCTGACTAAGCCAAGCAACACAATCACAAACCAAAAGTGGCATTGAAGGATGGGTCAAATGCAGAAGACAAATTTCCCTATGAGGACAAGTGTACTCTAATATTGCACTGGTATGGTACACCAAATAATTTTGTGTTGTGTAGCCTTATGACTCTAAACACATACGGCCCTTGGAACAGCTATTCTGACAAAGGGAAAAGCAGTTCCAGATGTTGTGAAACTGGCTGTGATGGGCTCCAGTGGAACATGTCCGGGCATGTAGAGCCTGAGTTTGTATAAAGCATCTCTCTCCCTTCTGTGTGCTTTTCACAGTCAGAAACTTTGAGCGCTCTTCAGTGAGGAGCCGTTCCTTCAGGAGACTGAACCGAGCCTTCAGTGTTCTGAGGAGGACCAAGAGCGGAACAGCAGTCAGCAATGAGAGCACCGAGGAGAGGGACAACGCACGCAACTCCAGTGTGCCACAAGAAGGTAAGGACTTCAGACTAACAAGGGTATATGCTGCTATACATTCAATCTACATCTGCATTCTCCATTGGTTTACATTTGCCCATATAAAAGATTTTAAAAAGAATGATGAATATGATAATGGCTCTCACTTGAAACCCATGGATAGCCTAGTTTGGCCAACTGTAGACAACAAATAGGCTACCATTTTCTGACACAGTTATCCTGTACCGATAACGCTAGATAAATTCAACAAATTTGACATCTTGCTAATAGCTATACTAATGATTTCTCACTATCATCACTTTTCCTCTAATCAATTCTTTCAAGATTGCATCGACCTATGGCCTGTGCAAACTTCTTTGGGCAACATGGCTGCAGATTGGCATTGCACTTCACATCCAGAACCTTGCTCGGCTGCTCTGTTCACACACTGGCAATCCGCTGGCATTATTCACACACCTTCCCTGCAAATTCCTGGTCATTTTTCTAGGAACTATTAAATTGTCAGATAAAAATGCAAAGAAATCAGCTCTAGCTTTACTTGCACATGATCATATTCTTAAAACCTTCCAGTAATTTGCTGGGTTGGGCTGCATGTGAAAAAAGAGCTTTCTATTCTCTACAACCGCCTGTCTTGTGCTTCCTTGAATCTCAAAATCTCTGCTGTTTTCCTCTGGGCATGTTTACTTACAGAACTGGAGTGTCTGTGTGAGTGATATTGCTTCAAGAAGACCACAGAGTAACAGTGGCATATGTTTTGTTTATAATTCACCAGCATGTTACATAAGTCTGTTGGTGCTACCTTGAGGACACATCAGTGAGAAAAGGCAAGCCCGAGGCGGTGTATAACAGCAGAGGTCACCCACACGTGGCCATCCTGTTCAATGGTCTCTCTCTCTTTTCTTTAGTCACCTCCAATTCCCTTTTGTCCTCCATGTATCTTTAAACTATCAGCTTCTACACATCATGATTGAGTACTCCCCAGAGAGGTTCTTCACGTGGTAGATCCATAAGAGTGGTGGATGTTCTGTACAGAAAAGCATATGAGGAGATACAAAGAGCCGAGAGCGGTAGCTGAAGCAAGAGGAGAGGAGTGCGTGATTGCGTAAGAGTGAACAAATGATGAACGGTTGGGGACTAGATCATTCTCCCAGGCCATCAATGAGGAGGAGAATGGATTAAATATTCATTGCAGGGCCACTGGAGAGACAAAAAACAAGTGGAGAGAGGGAGAAGAGGAAGGAGGAAAGAGTATAGTGGAAGGCACCAATGCAAAGGCAACAAATAAAGGTGAAGGTCCCAGCGGATGCACCCTAGAGGATTGATGGAAGGAGAAGTGGGTGAGGTAGAGGGAGGTTGAAGGAAGGGTTACATAACAGCCGCAGGTCCATCCTTGTGTGCATGTGTGTGTATGTGATTGTGTGTGTGTGTGAGTTAGTGTACGCTCCACCCTCTGAGCAATCTGCGGCGATAAAGACAAAATATTGACTTTGGAATGGGGAAAGTGCAGTGTGTGGGGAATGAGCCACTCCAGAGGAAGCACGAGTACGGAGAAAAAAGAGAAGGCATTTCATGAAGGAAATGAAATGAATCCCAGAAAATGTCTCTTGTCGCGCGCTCAGCCATGCAAAATATTGTCCACCCATTTTATCATGACCCAGCAAGTGTCATTTAGCTGTTAAGTGGCTATAGATATTCAAGAATAAGGCATAGGCATAGGTAAATGACTTGGACTGTACTGGAAATGTATTTAAAGAAATTCTGTTTATGACACATGGGCAGCAGTAGCTCAGTTGGTAGAGCATTCGCCCACTAATCTGAAGGTTTGCGGTTCGAATCCAGCTCTTGAGATAAACATCACAGTTTGAGTGATCAGATCCACTGACCCACAGGTTGGCTGGTGTGATTCCAGCTCCCACAGATGAATGCTGCCGTTGTGTCCTTGGGCAAGACACTTAACCCACCTTGCCCACAGTGTCTGCGTACACTGGTGTGTGAATGGGTGAGTGGTTCCTTGTTGTAAAGTGCTTTGAGTGCCTTGAAGGTGGAAAAGCGCTATAGAAAAATGTGACCATTTACACATGAATTCTGTGAGTCATATATTGTGCAAATTATTTACAATGGATAATGATAATGATAATGTTAGTGTTAAATGTGCCTATGTATACGTATGTAACATCTGGTACATAATGCAAAAGAAAGCTGTTAATAATGTAAAGTTATTTATGTTAGACTCAGTCAATCAAATACACAATGAGAGTTTTCCCAGACACATATTGGACAGATGGAGGTGACTAATCCCACAAACATGAGGGAATTCCCCTCTCTGTCGATCATATAAGAGTGTATGTATGAGTGACCTGTGGGACTCAGGCAGCTGCTGAGTCCTGTATACTCTATGCTGTCTAGGCACCTGTCTCTTTCTCCTTTGCTCCTGTTGTATTTGGCAGTTATACTGTCTCACCCTAAATCTAAACTCAGCCCTTTTCTCCTCTCAGTGCTGGCCCTGCCCCAGCTCCATCACCTGATCCCGGATGGAGAGGTCACCAGTATTAAGATCACCAGAGCAGACCCATCTGAGCCCCTGGCCATCAGTATTGTTGGGGGCAACGAGACCCCCCTGGTCCGCATCCTCATCCAGGACATCTACAGAGAGGGAGTGATCGCTCGAGACGGGCGCCTCCTGCCAGGAGACATGATCCTCAAGGTACAACAGTAATGACTGAAACTAGAGACCAGTCAGTCAGTGTAAAAGAGCTTACTAAATATGATGCAGATTTAGATCTGTTTTTCTATCATAAAATTTATTATAGTTATTATGAAAAGATAAATATCTTCCTTCCATATTGTCCAAATATTCCAAAATCATTCATTCCAAAAGTCACGCTATTAAACAGCAGATGTTTCCTCTTCTCCTCAGAGTCCAGCGTCTGAGCTGTGACAGCTTTAGCACTTGAAAAATGATATAAAATGATAATATAAATACCAAAACACACGTTTTTACTAATTCCTGGTGTGGCCATTGAATATGCTCTCTCTTTCTCTCTCAGGTGAATGGCATTGACATCAGTAACGTGCCTCACTGTTACGCTGTGGCCATCCTCAAACAGCCATGCCAGCTGCTGCGTCTGACTGTGCTCCGGGAGCAGAGGCACCGCTATCGCTCTCACAGTCACTCGCACCCACACGATTTGTCCTCGCCAGGGGCTCAGGGCCTGCCCCAGTACCCCCTGAGGGACGACAGCATCCACGTGGTGCTCAACAAGAGCATTCCAGACGAGCAGCTGGGCATCAAACTGGTGCGGCGGCCAGAGATGCACGGAGTTTACATCTTCCACCTGCTGGAGGGGGGCCTGGCCGCACGGGACGGACAGCTGTGTGTGGGGGACAGGGTCCTGGCCATAAATGGACACGACCTGCGCTATGGGGCACCAGAGCATGCTGCTCTGCTCATACAGGTCAGTGTGTGCAGCTGAACTAAGCATCAGACTGTAAGAGCTGACTTGTAAGATATATGAGTTTTGTATCCTGTTGACTAATATGAAGCTGGACATTAAAAAATGGGGTCAGCCAACCCACAGACAAGAAACCACATATCATCTGACCTAAAATATAGCAGTGTTTTTAATGACCAATTACAAAAAAAAATCCTGATGCCTATCAGCAGTCCTGGCAGCCTCCAGTGTCTCATATAGATGCTATTGTAGAGGTCACAGTCCACATTAGTCTGCTCATTTTACACAGCACAAACAACTGCATTCTCAGTGGGGGTCCTTGTGGCATTAAAGATAATTGCGGTGATTCAAACTAATTGTGTTGCGTCTGTGCTGCCTGCAGTTAATAGTATTTAATAGTGGTTTGCCCTGATAGACCAGTACATGTGGCAGCTCTGGCTCCCGCCTGATGCCTGTCGATGGTGTGTTTGTGGTTCCTGGTTAATTGCAGTATTTTGGGCGGGCTGAGCTGGGTCTCTGGGACTCTAGTTCCTGTTTAAGAGTCTGGCTGGCTCTCGTATGTCCCCATAGAGGACTGTGCCCACTTACAGTGGCTACTCTCTGTCACCGATTAAGAACTGGCAGCGCACAAATGAAATTAGTCCAATTATGACAATAATGGGCTGTACCGGCTAATTCAGGAGTCAGCTCCATGTTAATGTAGGGAAGGTCTCTGAAGAATTAAGCAGAGCCACGCAGCAGCCAGTCTGTGTGTGAGGGGAGTGAGTGGCACTGGAAACTGAGCCAGAGGAGAGCTACAGAACAGATCAGTAGGACCTACTGGCTGTGATGTTAGAGAGAGAGAGAGAGCCTGTAGCTATGCTGAGAGACAAATTACCAAAAATGTTCACTTCAGTGAATTTTATTTGAAGAGCTCAGACTATAATCAAATGCCTCAATTATATTCATTCCATGTGTACTAGCATGCCACTGCATGCATCTACTAAAAGAATATGTTTTATTTCTATTGACTTAAGTTGGATTGCTGAAGACAGAAGTGTGATCTGTTTAGAGTGCTTGATGCAGCCTCCTACTAAATGGGAATAGTAGTGATGACAAAGAAGAGCCATTTAACTTAGCAAAATGGTTTTGTAAAACTAATCGACTATGTTCTTAAATGAGCCCTTTCCGGATGTTTTTTAGGCGAGTGAGGAGCGTGTCCACTTCATTGTGTCCAGACAGATCTGTGTCCCCGCCTCGGACATCTTACAAGAGGCTCCCTGGGCAATGGATGGGCCTCCTCCTTATTCCCCCGTGGACATCGAGCAAACATTACTGGTGAGCACACATGCACATTACACATTACACATTACACAGGAGACCAGGTACACAACAGAGAAGCTTTGTTCTTCTATCTCCTCGTCTCCCTGATAAATTGTCCCTTTCAGGTGCAAATGATCCAGAGAGATAATATTCCATCAAAGCTGTTGCCATTGCATCTGCAGCAGCCATCTTTGCCTCAGCACACTCTTCACCTAATGATAATGAAAGCTACAGTCACACACCGAAGCAGCCATTGTGTTGAATAGGAAAGCTTGTAAAATTATGCTCAGGATGAAAATCTGAAAACAGTATCAAAACATACTGTTAGTGACAGAGGGCAAGTGTCATATTTTATCTATTCAGCTGTTTTTATGACAACCAAATCTCAAGGCAAACTTTTATTTTTATTATGCTTATCAGTATTTGCAGAGGCAGGTGTAGTCTAGTGTTTGGAGCATATAAACACAAACTCAAAGGATACCGCTTTGATATATGGTCTGATCATTGTGTCCTTTGGCAAGACACTTCACTCACCTTGCGTTTGTGTAAAATGTGAATAAATGATTGATCAACTTTGTAACTGTTGTTTATGATTTGAAGTAACTACATAACAAATCTGAAAAGTATTTTGAGGCAACATTGTCCACTAAATCATCTTAACAGACCAATTTATACACCAAAATGGGATATTGACTGAACTGATTTCTTAGAACCAATATCTGATCTATAAAAATATTTCATATCAGCACAGATATCTCTTACCAGTATCCAGAGGTGGGAAGTCGTGATTTGGACTCAAGTCAGACTTGAGTCACTACTTTAGGACTTAAGACTTCACTTGATAAAACTGACCTTAGCCTTGGGACTCAACTTGGACTTGAAGGTCAGTGACTTGAAAAGCACTTAAATCTGAATTCCTTCGATCTTGTCAAGACATTTAAAAAGGAAACATTTGCATTTCTACAACTCTAATATACTCTATAAATACTCATATATAAATATACTTTAACTTTATAAGTACAATTTATCTTAAAAGTCATATAAATTGAAAAAAAAAATCTAAGCTATATTTGGTACTTTGGTTTAAAGACTTGAAATGACTTGAAGCTCAAAGCAGATGACTTGGACTTGACTTGGACTTATGCCAGTATCGTACCGGTGCATCCCTACTATTGTTATCATTACAGTAAAATGATTATGTCACAGTGTCCGGCTCCCTGTCCCTTCGCTGCCCTCCAGTGAGTGTTAGCGAAATGTGTGAAAACAGCACATTAACCACGCCGCACGAGACTCCGCATCCCATCAGCCTCAATGTGTCCATGTGTTATTCATTACTATCTCACTCACAAACACCCCGGCCATAAATACAAGCACGCTCTCCCCTCACAGCCCCGCACACAACTAAATATTGTACCACATCACCGCTATGAAATAATGCATCGCTTTCATTATATCCAATACATGTGAAGAGGCCATCAAGCTGTCTTAAGAGCCCCTATGTGTTATAGATAGCCAGTTATGCTAATGGGGTGATTCATTAATTAGCGACTGTCAGTGCTCTCTCCGTTATCCTGCGCAGCCCTGGTATGGATTCTGCCATTATTAAGGCGCTATAGTGTGTCACAGAGAAAACATGTTATTAATATGTAAATGAGCGCTCCTATTGTCAAACCTTCCCCAGACGCCCTTGATGTGCTGCTTATGTGTAGGAGTACGGTACATTGGAGTCATGTTTTTAATTTTGAGCATCATAATTGATAAAAAGACAATGCATTTTAAGATCCTAAAGGGCAAACTCAATCTTTACCCTGCAAAAAGTAATATCTAAGTAAGTTCAAATTACTCAGAGTTAGGACACTTGATTTCATTAGACTTGACTTAGACTTAGACTAGACTTAGACAAACTTTATTGATCTGCAAGGGAAATTATTTGGACACAGTAGCTCACACGTCACAATATAATATAATACGAGTAAACAATGTAAATGGTAATAATACATTCTAAATAAGAAGCAAAAAAGGGCAAGAGACAGGTGTCAAATAATTATGTACAAGTCAAAATAAAATAGAAAGTAATAAAATAAAATCACAGTTAAATGATGACTTGAATGACTTGATTAAAATTATCTACCAATGGAATAGGTTTTTTGATTTAACCAAAATAAGATTTAATTTCTTATTTTAAGTGCAAAGAGTTGATTTTTTTATGTTTTGTGTAATAAGTTGTATTTTTCTATTTTCAATATGAAAACTCTTGTCCCATTAGTTGATCATTTTAATTGACATGTGAAATTTACTCAAATAAACATAACATTTTCTTAATTTTAAGAAATTTTAACTTGGCAAGATTTTAGTTTTTGCAGTGTACTAATGATGTTGATGTAATGTTTGTGTTTGAAGGATGTCTGTCAGAAACCGGCGTGCTATGAAAAGACCGTGACTCTGACCAAAGAGCCGTACGACTCCCTGGGCATGACAGTGGCGGGGGGAATGTCGAGCCGAGGGTGGGACCTGCCCATTTACGTCACCAACGTGGACGCTGACGGGGTGGTGGGGCAGGAAGGCTCTATCCGCAAAGGTACAATCTGACACTATGTTGTTTCTATATCAAACTATCAGGAGAAGTATGGAACTTTTTGGTTTGCCATCTGTTTGTCTTGATACAGATATTGTTGTTTTGTCACAGTATAGAGCGGATGGGCTTGCCAATCCACAGATCTGATCTGTAACATGGCCTGAGGGTGTTACTTGCATATTCTTACTGGTATAGAAAGTTAAATTACATACTGTGGAGTAGTCACAGCAAAGCAATAAGATCATTTTGGAGACAAGCAAGTGGTATACTAAAAAAGTTACATAGAGCACTTTAAATTCACTGTGTTCAAAAGGCATGGCACTAGTAGTTATGTTGACATCATTATGCATGCCCAAAAGGCTCTACCTACCACAATAATAAATACATTATGTTAGTATTTACTTTAATATTTATAGAACTAAAAAGTCAACCAGGAAAACGCTGACTTTGATTTCAATGTGTCAAATTCAGTGTACTATCTTTTTTCAATCATGCCACAAATTAGTAAAAACATTACAAAGCTGAACCAGAGATAAACCAATAAGTAAAATAAATAAGTAAAAATCTTTATTTTCCATTCAGATCAGTGTTTGTTCTGTCATCAAATGGATCAATAAAGCCTGCTTTGTATGACAGTGCACGTGCCTGTTTGTGCTGTTTGTGGGCAGACAGTGGTACAATAGTATTAATATGGTAATGAGTGTAGAATAAACAGAGTGAATGATTGATGCATGTTAAATACTCATGTTTCATTACAGAGTTTATCCATCCAGAAAAGACAGTGCTGTGCAGCTCTGGTTCAGCGCTTCACAAATTGGCCTGAACGTAGTTAAACGTCACACACAAACAAACATTAGCATATCAGCGCTATTATGTGTCAAGGCAGCCTCTGTCATGTACTTTGTCGTTTGTTTTCATGTAGCCAGTCAAAATGTAGAGCAGCAAATGAAGCTTGAACAGCTTTCTTAATGTCGAAAAATGCTCTGTGAGATATTTTGACCAATAAACAACATCCATGAGCCTGTCACTGGTTACATGAACTGATTGTTGTGTTTTTGGGCAAGGCGCTATAGCCCCACCTTGCCTAAATAGAATCATAATGTGTTGTCAGAGGGGTTGTAAGCAAAGATTGGCAGCTACACTTCTGTCAGTCTGTTTCTGGGCAGCAGTGGCGATATTACCTCCTCTACCATCACAGAGTGTAGTGAAAACAATGCTTGAAAAGTGTTATAAAGGGGCTGTACAATTCAGATGACATTACAAAAAATTAAGATATAAACACTTAAATCTATCAGAAAATGGATTAAAAGTAGTGAAAGTATTTGTCTGTGCAGAAAGATAATTTTACTTGACAAGTCAAGTTAAAATAAACTACCTCTAAACTAGAATTAAGATGTCTCAGAACTACCAAGTAGAAAATAAATCTGAAACCAAGATGAATAACCTGACATAAGTTTGAAAATCTTGGCCAGATCAGAGAAATCTGCAGTGAAAATTAAAAAATGCTAATTTTATATAGTGAATTCCTGAATCTTGTCAAAAATATCAGGTTCAGCATTTGTGAATTTACCTTTTGGATATTTCATGGCAAAGTGCATTGTTATCAACAGGGAAAACTGGCTCTTGTTCCCAACTGAGAGTATTCACATTCTAAAATCTGAAACCCACCTATTGATCAATTTGAACTGATTCCTACTTGTCAATGATTAGTCTTTTTAATTGAAGTCTGCAGCCAATCCTTCAGTAAAAGCATCTCGTTGGGAGCAGAGTTCAGACTATGTTGGAAGAAATTAGTTTTAAATGGCAATGATTAAAAGTCTGTATTGTTACATTCAGGAAATTAATGTTGAGATTGGATTAATTAAAACAAAAAAAAATTGGAATTCATGAATAAGAGAGGAAAAAATGATTATGGTATTGTCATGGTGCCCATCCCTGGCTCTGGCTGATACAATGGCCAATTATTATAAAGGATTTCAAGCTCTCCTCTCTGTTCTCCCCTGTGTTTGCCAGAGTTGTATCAAAACTTTAATATCTTTCTAATGCAGATGGCTTCATAGTCATAACTGGCTTTTGAAAAAGTGGTAGTATCACTTTTATGACCAAATTATCATTGCAAAAATATTGCAGTCATCACTTAGGTTAGCTCACACTCTGCAGTGCTCTTTTTCACACATAGTTTTCCCTGTGTACAGTAGTGACACGTTCTGTGCTGAGCTGTGCTGGAGCCATTACTTACATTAGCATATCCTCCACGGGCATACGTGTCCTTTGAGCCAAGAGCGAGCATCTCAGTGCCGTGCCATGTGTTATTCTTTGCACCACTTTCATCACAGGGAGCTTATTAAAACACAGGTGCTGAATATTAACTAGCCCCTTGTCTGGAGAGGTCCTTTGAAAAACCATTATGAGGGCAGCAAAGGTTTCAGCATGTCTGTTTTTTTCTTCTCTCATAGGTGACATACTGCTTAACGTAAACGGGGTGGACCTGACTGGGGTGACGAGGAGCGAGGCTGTGGCAAATCTCAAAAATACCTCCTCCCCCGTGGTTCTCAAGGTCCTGGAAATGCGTCCTCCAGAAGAGAGCCTGCAAGAGTGCGCCCTCCCCCACCTGCCTCACCCCCTCCCCCACAGACAGCACCAAGAGCCCCCTGCCCAATGACGACTACTCGCCTCTGTGGGTGTCATGGCTGCAGTTACCCAGGTGCGTGCCGCTGATAGGGCTGTGCTAAAACTTTCTTTACTCTTCCCTGTACAGAGTGGGTGACCTCGGCCAGCTGGGCTCATCTCAGAGTTTGTCAGGGCCAGCTGGAGGGAGAGGAACAAAAACAACTTTTGGGCTTAAATATTCATAGTGTTTTTATCCACGCAACTTCATGAAGCCAAGTGTCAAGCCTTGGCAAGACTATTTCCATATAATGAATTGTCAGCTCAGGGTGACAGCGATAAACAAGAGCTGCTCCAGTGTTGTGCAAAATAAAAGATGAGGAAAATTTCCTCAGTGAATTAATTACAAAAGATGACGGACTTATTCACAAGAGGACTATTATCTAGAGCAGTGGAGCAGCAGACTCAAAACGCCTGGGAACGGGATATACATTTCCAGTGCCTAATTACTTTATTGGTTTATTTTGTAGTTTCAGAATATGTGGATATCCATGGCAGCCTTGCAGGGACACATATTTGTATTTTAAGGTGCACTGTGTAACTTTTCTGGTGGAGGGTTCACCATCTGTGTGACTCCGTTTAGATCAGGGATCTCCAACCTTTTTCCTCCAGTGAGCTATTTTAACAAAATGAAAATGCCAAAGAGCTCCTCATTTTAGCAATCACAAGAAATTGAGTTAATTTAAGAGCCACGGCCTTAAATGGAGTTTATACATTTATTTAGTGCACAATGTTAGTCATCAAAATGATACATTTACAATGGTAATAGCCTTTTAATCAATCCAATTTTAGTTATTCAGGACAATACGTGTAATTTCGAAATCACTTGGTGAGCTGCTTGGAAGGGGGTGGAGAGCTACTGGTAGCTCCAGAGCTACAGGTTGGAGAACCCTGGTGTAGGTGTTGTTGTTTTTCCTGGAATATTCTGCGGTATGGCATTTAATTGAAGACAAGAAGGCTACATTACCATACCAAGTTACGGGTCAGATTGGTGGAGAAGTGGGCTCACTCACAGTAAGAATACATGTCTTTGTGGTAGCTTTGAGCAATAATAAACTCCTGTGAATGAATAGATACAAGATATATTTATTTAATGCCGCACTGTGGAACATCCCAGGCAAAGCAAGAACATTATCATGAGACAAGCAGAAAAGTTACACAATGCACTTTTTAGTGAAAACACTATCAGTGAAAACCAACCGCTCTCAGACAGACAAAACCTCACACAGCTTCAAATCCTGCATACATTTGTTTTGAGTGACTGATGTGGATAGGACTCTCAAAATTTCTGTGTCATTTTAAAATCAGGACAGCATCTCTGTGTTCAAAGTGCAGCATTTTTCAGAGCACAGCAGCAGACACCCTTATCTTCATCTTACCTACACTGATTTGATTCTTACGCACTGCTGCTTATGTTGTTGTAGATGTTGTGCGTGTGCGCGTGTGTGTGTGGTAGTGGAAGATAGACTTGAGAGATTAGTGTTTTTAATCTGGCTCTTGGCCCGTGCAGGCATCTCTACTGCTGCAAAGACATTGTCCTGCGGCGGAGCACTTCGGGCAGCCTGGGCTTCAGCATCGTCGGAGGTCAAGAAGAGGTCAACTGCAATCAATCCTTTTTTATCCGCTCCATCGTGGAAGGGACGCCAGCCTACAACGACGGCAGGATAAGGTATGCCCAGCTAATAGCTCTCAGTTTACAATATTTACTCTGTGTGTTAACTGTATACCCGCATTTATACAAGAGATGGGATGCTATGTAAATGTAAATACAAACAGAATTACTTTTTCTGTAAAAGCCTTTCACCTTTACTTTTAAATATATTTGACACATTCATTTTCTATAATAATAAATCACTTTCCTATGACTAACATTGTAAATCTCTGCCTTTCCATAGGTGTGGGGACATTTTGCTGGAGGTCAACGGGAAGAGTACATGGGGCATGACCCACACGGCGCTGGTACGTCTCCTAAAGGAGCTCCGGGGCAGAATCACGCTCACCATCGTCTCGTGGCCTGGCAGTCTGCTGTAGCCAAACCAACGCTATTGTCTCTATGGCAACGACCAAGGAATGTGGAGCGCCCTAAGCTAGCAGAGCGGACATGGCTTATAGACTAGTACTGTAGCTAGTTGGACATTTGACTTCTGATGGACAGCTTTACCAGGAGTTTGGGCATGGGACACTGGACTATTTTTTGTCTTTGCAAGAATGTTGGACACTATTGATGCTGTTGGACATTCACAAACACAGCCTCGAGTGAAGAGGAGACATGCCACATTGCCAATTCCAGTAGTTCTGTAGTAGGGTATGCATACGCCGGACTCACTTTGTTTACTGTAAATGTTGGGTGTTTAAAATAAGTACTGATCCAAGCACTTGTACTATGTTTCTCTTGTTTGTCGTTGATATGGCCTTGACTACAGGCTCTATTCTGTTTGTACTGACAGTGGACGTCATTCTCATCTGTTGACCTGAAGACACGTTGCCAAATTGTAGTCTGTGTTTGAGGTATTTTTTATTTTATTTCAAAAACTCAAAGTATCAAATCACTGATGAGAAAATGATAAAAAAAAAATATGATGTGTTCATAGCGTGCAAAAAATAATATTTAATAATTAGGTGACGTTGTGGAGGCCTTACTAATTTTCTTACTTTTAAGAAAAAAACTGACTTGGTTTGTGTGTATCAGTGGATGGTGTGGGGCCTCGTGTCAGGTCCCTGTCGATCACATTTCGCTCTGTGTAATATATCTGATGGTTCATTTGGTTAAATGATCAATAAAGTCATTGGAAAAGAAAGACTTGTGCGGTGATGCAATGTCCTTTTTTAAAACATTAAGCTGGGGGTGTTCTACATGTATATGTATTAGTCAGAAGCGGTGTCACCATTAGGCAAAAGTAGGTGACTGCCTAGGAGCTCCAAACCTGGAGGGGCCCCCAACCAATTGCCCTCAGTCACCGAGGCCTCAGCCATTAAGAACAATTTGATTTTCTCTCAATATGAGAGTAGTTTACTTTTGAACAATAATCAAAAGAAAAAAATTATAATAATAATCATGTGTAATGGATGTAATCAAAAACTGTAATTGTACTAGCAAAAAATAAAACTACTTTCAGTTCTGGTTATCTAGTAGGAGACTGAACTAATAAGACAAGTTTCCAGTCCACCATAATTCAAATAAATAGTGATGTGCATGTCTGAAGAACAATGGGGAAAAACGGACAATAAATATACTGTATTTGTATATTAAAAAAAAAAAAAAGAAGAACAGAAACAGTAACAGAAAACCAGTGCATTATAGTGAGGGCCCCAAACTCAAGTTTGCCTCAGGCCGCCAAATTGCTGACTGCGCCACTGGTATTGGTGGAATGGATTGTTCGTTCACTAGTTACCATGCAGACAGACACAATGAGCACAGACAAACATGTTTTAAGAGAAAATACAAAATGGATTTGAACAGCATATTTTCACGAGCCTGTTCATGGTCCTGTTTAGGTGTTTGAGTGACTGTAATTTTATGAGACATGTTTAACACCACAAATCAAATCACGTCTCTTATAGTTCCAATTTGATCAGCTCTTTCTGGTCAGATCGTGTTAAAATAAAGCTCAAATTAAAGTCTAACTTGGGCAACAAAGCTTCAGACAGAATAGTGCTTTCAGTTAGCTTTACACTCCGATGGATTATTGATGACATGAACTGCAAAGTATCAATATACAATGGATTAGACATTTCACATTTCAACAGATATGGAGTAATACAGCCCCTATTGACTTTTGTGAGCTGTCTCTATAAAGAATGTTCGCAATAATGATAAATGACTAGTCCAATATTATAATGGGCATATTTAAAGTTGCACTATAGTAACTTTTTTGGTAGGGAACTTGTACTCGTTTCCATAGAGATGCTATTTAACTTATCTAGGTTGCATTTATCCAATTCCAGGTATTTCTGCATCTTCATCTTGTAAACAAGTAGGTGGCAGACCCCCCACCAGTTACATTATCAGGATTTACCACTGAGAATCTCAATTTTAAAAGGCAATAAACAAATTAGCACAGTTCATTTGTTTGGAGTAAATACTAAAACTAATTGTATTTTGTTTTTGTCTTTTATTGTCTATTAATGTCTCCCTGAAGGTTGTAAAAGGAGAATCTGTGGATGTAACCACTTAATAAGTCACAAAATAAGATAAGGAGCTCGCAAAAATTCAGTCTGTAGGACGTAACTTCACTTTCTCATTGTCCCCTTCACTCTTCTTATCCTCTCACTGTCCCCTTCTCTCTCCTCATCCTCTCATCATCCTCTTCACTCTCCTCATCCTCTCACTGTCCCCTTCTCTCTCCTCATCCTCTCATCATCCTCTTCACTCTCCTCATCCTCTCATTGTCCCCTTCACTCTCCTCATCCTCTCATCATCCTCTTCACTCTCCTCATCCTCTCATCGTCTCCTTCACTCTCCTCATCCTGTCATCATCCCCTTCGCTCTCCTCATTCTCTCACCGTCCCCTTCTGTCTCCTCATCCTCTCATCGTTCCCTTCAAGCCCCTGATCCTCTCATCATCCTCTTCACTCTCCTCATCCTCTCATCGTCCCCTTCCCTCTTCTCATCCTCTCACCGTCCTCTTCTCTCTCCTCATCCTCTCATTGTCCCCTTCTCTCTCCTCGGCCTCACATCTACCACCTCCAGTGTCCAGGCCCCGGGGGTAAGACATCTCTTAAACATCTCATCTAATCAGCCACGCTCTTCATTGCAATGTTTTGTTTTTTTTTACTAAGGTCAGACCATCAAAGCAAACACATTCAATAAAACTGCTATTTTCTCTTTGTCTGAGTCTCTCTAGGTTGCAATACCTTGAATAAAACTAAAATAAAACTAGTCTGTTAATTACTTTCAATATTTATTTATATTTAACATCAATCCAAGCTCCTGTTTCTGGTAAAACAAAACAAAAAATCCAAACCAACATAAGTACATTTCAATGAGTTTTGGAGATATCATGTACTGGTCATCTCCTTCGTGTATTGTAAATGGCACAGCACAGCGCAGGAGTAATTAAAATCCCATAAAGCTTAGATGAAAACACAGATGATTAGAATAAGTTGGAGTTCACAAACACAGCTGTATTATCTGAGGCTACACACATGTCACCGCCGCAGGATGCCTCTCATTAACTCGATTAGGAAACTAATAATAATCCATTAGTTTTGCTCTCAGGCAGGGGATGTCTCCTTGACTGTCTCCTTGTCTTATCTCCTTCTTTTGTCTCCTCGGTTGTCTCCTTGTCTTCTGTGTCCTCTCTTTCTCTGTCTGTCCCTGTCCTTATCCTGCTCTTGTTGTTTATGGCTGGTGCTGTAATTAAAACAAGATAATATTTTTTAATATTACTTAATATTCTAGTCAATTCTCTTCTTATAGTGAATATGACAGGTTGGACTCATTCCATTAAAACATAAACCTTATTAGGTATATTTTTAGTGAGCTATTACTATTACTTACTTACTGCTACTATTACTAAATAATTTTACATCCTGGTTGGTATATAACAAATGTAGAAGTACTTCAGTAGCTGTTAATTGAATGTCCCTCAGGATCAATAAAGTATCTCTCTATTGCTCTGTTACCTATACCAACCATAATGTAAACAAAGGCTAAATCAGACAGTGGTTAAGATTTTTGTCAGGTCAACAGGTCAAATCAGACGACTTCTTAATTTTTTAGGTTAAAATGCCACATAGAGGGATTTCGTTTTAGTACTCAATTTATTTTTATGTATTCTCTTTTCCCCACACTTAATTTGTGTAAAACTATGATTAATGTTTATAACAACTACCACCAAACAGAGTAATAATTAGAAAAGAAATATAACCTGTCATATGCACTTTAACTTTATGTTTTGTTTTGTTTTTTATTCAATTGGACCTGGTTTTAGCTTGGTCATGACTCTTCCTTGGCTGCTTTTCTTCAGGCTGCCTCTCTCTGTGTTTCTTGCGATCCCTGCTCCTCTCTTTGTCCTGGCTTCTGTAAAATGACACAGTATTTTTCTCATCTGAAGAGTTAATAGAACACACAGCTCAACACAACCAAGCGCCTGGCCTTTTCCTCCACTCCTTCGGGGGAAGCAATAAGGCCGGTCCCAGGGGAGCAGAGTTGGAGTCTGCTGGTGTTTTCTCTGTTGGAGTGGAGCCCTGATGAGGACATGAGACTGCTCTGTGACTGCAGCTAACACACGGATAAACACAGGTGTCACAGCAAGGCTCAAACCTTTCTTTTCCCCTCTCTAAATACTATCTGGATACTTTGGAGACTGGGTTTTTTTCAGACCATACTACAAGCACAAGCAAAGGCAGGTTCATTTAAGTGCAAATGAATCTACGATGAAATTAGATAGGTACAGGTTCAGTTACCACAATGCAAAAAAGGTGTTTAAAGTTAACAGGGAGTTCATTTGATGCCTCAGTATCAATGAACATGACTAATAATAGAGAGGAAACAATTATATTTTCATTTCCTAGATGTATTCATTCTATCATCAGTCAATAATTAATAATTCATTTGATATGAAGATTGACACTTTCCATCATCAATACACAAACTCAGAAACATGAGCCTTATCCTGTCAGTTCACTTGTGTATAATCCCAAAGTCTGGATCTGTGATACATGTGGAGTCTACAGTTCCAGGTGTTCATCAGTTTAGTTTAGACTAGATCAGTTCATTTGTCATTTGTCACACCCACCACTATTCAGTGCAGCAGTAGATGTATTAAAGGCCTGTCCACACGACAACGTTTTTTGGTCGAAATGGTGAAGTTTGTATTTGTTTTGGCCTTTCTTCTAGCATTGCACTGTCGTGTGGACAAGCAAACCGCAGCTTTTGGAAAACGATGACGTCGCAGCCCTCGAACTAGCCTCCGCTGACCACAAGGCCGTTGCCAAAATAGGACAGGTGTAGCCCACGGAGCCCCTCCCCTCGCCCAGCAACCAAGATACGCTGCTAATGTTAATGCTAACCCTAACAACATGCACCATGCAGATTAAGCACACGGATCAATAACAAAAATTACGCATGGGTAATCAAGCTGTTGGATTTTGAGACCAAGTTATTTTAATTTAATTCTCACCTAAATCTTGGCTAAAAACAAAAACTCATGTTTAACTTTTGCGAAACAAAATGGCTATATTTCTGTGATACTTGTAAAATAGGCTAAATTACCTTAAAGTAAAAAAAAAAAAAAAAAAACTGTGACGGGATATGCATTATTAAATACTATTATCATTGTTAGTGCTGTCATGCGATTTAAAAAATTGAGAGATTAATTAATTATGATCTGTAATTAATTAATCTAATTAATCTAATTTTAATCTCACCTAAAAATTGCTGAGAAAAGCCTTCAATTTGAGGTATTTTCATTTAAATTCATTATTACATTATTGTGGCAGACCAAAAGACTGATATAGATTAAAAAAAGTGACTTTATAAAGTCATTTATTGTTTAACAAATCTCTCCAAATTGTCTGTTGAGTCCAAGTCTCCATGAATAAGAAACTGTTTGCTGTAAAGTAGCAAAGATGAGGAAATCTGAACATCCAGTCCAGTCTTTCCTTAACCATATTAAAAATATCATTGATAGAGAAATGCTTTATATATGAGATCACTGGTTTAAGTCCTTGTTTTAGTCCTGGTTTAGACCTGCTTTAGTCCTAGTTTAGTCCTGGAATGGATTAATCCTGTTTTAGTCCTGGTGTTAGTTCTGGTTTAGTCCTGGTTTAGACCTGATTTTAGTTCTGGTTTTAG